AAAAATTCTGCTACTATGATATAGTTTGCATCTTGATGGTACTGTCTGAGCTAGAGATATGTCAATTTCTTATAAATACTTGTCTGATCATATTCAGAGAGAAAAAGACGAAACACCACCTATATCTGTTTACAATTTGAAAGTTATATTGTCTGATACTAAGTATTTGAACCTGATTTGTAAGAGTTTGGAAAAAAAAATTTTTTTTTGATACAAGATTGTTTTGTTGCAAGTCAAAATTTAGGAAAAATATAATTTGACCGAAAAATACATTTCAGACAATGCCAAACTAGATGAATATAAAATGTGTTCAATAATTGTAATTTATCAGAATATTTCAACCTGAAAATTTGTCCTCACTATTTATTTAAGGATGTCTGCTCCTCTTGTTTTTGCAAATTAATTTGGCCAAATATTCGGACTCATCTGGTTTTATCCATGTAGTGCCATTAAAATTTTTGCCTGCAAACCCCTACTTTTCTTTTCATAGTTTTATTACATATAGTCAAAAAAGCCATTTTTGAAAATCTTATAAAATCCTTGTTATTTTTCATAGTTATTTAAAGAAAAAAGGTGCCAATGTTAAATGTATGAAAAATCTAGAGAGAATCACTTCCCGTCAAATTTTCAATGGCTTATATCTCGAAAACAAGCACACGAACCCTTCAATTTATCTGCTTTTTAAGTTCCTTTATTCATATACTTTCAATTTATAACAGTCTTTTAAAAAGCTTGTTATTTTGAAACAGATCTAGAGTAGCGAACATTCTTAGAGCTTGACTTAAAATTTTTCTAAAGACATGAATTTAATGTGTTATTGTTTTGAGAAAAAAGAGAATACTATATAAATTTTATCTATTACTTTTCTATCCATCAAATAAAAGCACCAGTAGTTGATATTTATCGTCATAATATTAATCTTATATCAATACTCACCACCTTATCGAGAGCGATAAGAAGTACACGTGAATAACAACAATACTATGTAAAAGCGATATAAGAAATAAACATATATATGAACTATATACAAATGAAAACTAAGTTCATTCCATATTGTGTCCCTTGTTTTGCCACAGAATAGTTATATGTCTAATAAACTCTCTTGTTTGGATGTCTTGTAGAAAGGGTTTGAATAGTCTATTAGTACCAATTAAAATACATTTCATCTCGTTACGAATTAACTTAATAGAATGTTAGTACAATGTTATTTGAAATATACATAGACTTACTTTTCCATGTACTCCAAAAAGGTATGTTCCGGTAGGTATTTAAACAACTTAAAACAATATGATAGTAGTAGAAACAAAAACTTAATTTCGCTATCGGTGGCTTTCGGTTTAATTGGGTGTAAGGTCTCGTCACCTTCAACCTTACCTCACATGTTACATGGGTGAACTGCATTCCTTCACATACGCTTAGATCGGAATTATCCGAAAAGTGAAAATAAGTTTTTGGAAGAATTGGTTTTATTTTATTGTTGCCAAAAGTACTAGATTCAAAAACCGGATGTAGGCTTCAGCTTGTCCCTTAACAATAATGTATACAAACGGGAAATGTGTCAAAAAGACAACAACCGGACCATAGAGCAGAAAACAGCCAAAAAGACCAATGGGTCGTCAACACAGCGAGAAAATTCTTCAACTGGAGGCGGGCTTCAGTTGGCCCCTACACAATAATGTATACAAACGGGGCATGTGTCAAAGAGACAATAATGCGACCATAGAGCAGAGAACAGCCCAAAAAAACGAACAACAAAATAAAGTAAACTAAACGGGTAGCCATAGCTGGATTATTTCACTACATTTTAGTAAAAACAATTGTCTGTCGTTGAAAATAAAAAAAAGCAAAACAGTCAACAAGATTTTAAAGGTTATTTGTATTTTGTTTCTACAAAATACATTTATTTGAAAATCCTTTTAGCTCAAAAAGTAATATAAAATCAAGATTGTTTATCTCTAATATTTCTTTCAAAGTGTCTGCTGAATAATGCATACATGGAATCAAATATTTTTTTTTAGAAGTTCTTAGCTTAAATTAAGACGACTTCAAAAAGTGATGCTGCACAAACCATTTCCGTTTTATAGCCTCATTATTGACGAAAAAACGAGTAAAATCTAGTCCACAATACACTACACAGAAAACTAAAATTTGAACAACACATACCACATCAATATTCGGGGATAAAATCATGTGCTCCGGAAGGGTTATCAGTTGCAAGGCTGAAAGGATTTGGTACGCCATACCTATACTTTCTTCTCAAACCTTTACTTTTCGGACCTTGTTTTTTTCTTTTATATACCTGACAAATGTTTTCATAAAGTAAACATACTCTGTTCTGCATTGTCGTTATTTTGTTCATATTGCCATAAATTGTAGAAATACCTCTATTATTGAACAAAAAAATGTATCACTCTTTTACTTAATTTCAAATGACTTCTCAATGTTATCATTATTAAAACGAGTCAATGGCGTAAAATTAATACTAGAAGCATATATCACAATAAATGTCATTGTACTTAAGTGTGTTGCACTTGCTTTATTCCATTTCATCTGTGTACAGTTACAAAGTTAATTCTGAAACTTAACACACAAGCTTTGTTCTTTTGTATTGCACAAGGTTTTAATTGAATGTTCCAATTAAGTGCGATATATCTATACTATTTTTGTTCTTTAAATTTCAGTTTTCTTTTACCTCTCTTTCTGTGTGTATATGTCTAAAGTGTGAAATCTTGTGATAAAAGTACCTGACACTTTTGTTTCCTATTCTGACATCGGACTCGGACTTCTTTTAAACTGAGTTTTACTGTGCGTATTGCTATGTGTTTCTTTATTCTACATTGGCTAGATGTATAGGGATCTCACAAAACATGTTTAACCCCGCCGCATTTTTGCGCCTGTCCCAAGTCAGGAGCCTCTGGCCGTTGTTAGTCTTGTATGTTTTTATTATTTTAGTTCATTTGTATGTTTTTGAGTTTAGTGTGACGTTCATTTTCACTGAACTAGTACACAGTTTTATCTAGGGACCAGCTGAGGACCACCTCCGGGTGCGGGATTTTCTCGCTGCGTTGAAAACCCGTTGGTGGCTTTCGGCTGTTGTCTGCTCTTTGGTCGGGTTGTTGTCTCTTTGACATATTCCCCATTTACATTCTCAATTTAACTTCAATTGTACGATAGATCTTATAAGATTGTTTCTTAATTCTGGATTGGTTCCTTTATGAGAAATACATGTGATTAACAACTTTATCATGTAAACAAAAGATAAAAAACATATGAATAAAATAAAATTAAAAAAAAACTAAGTGCATTCCGGATTGCGGCCTTTTGTTTGTCCCTAAATACGTCTTATTTCATGTACCTCTACTTTATGATTTCTATAAAAAAAAATACCCTGGTTGTACATTAGGATCAATGGGAAAAGAGAAACAAATCTTCCTATAACGAAAAAAACTCCATATACAAGTGATTTTAAGTACTATGCAGTTTAAAATATACGTTCACTTACTTTACCATAAACCCTTATAACAAGAGTTATGCCTCATCACCGTCAACTTTACGTCAAATTGTATATAGGCGAACTATATACTTTCATTTAAGACTAGGCCAGAAATATCCAAAAGTGGTTGGAAGAAGTTTGTTGTATTTTGAAATTGTCGAAAGTGTTAGTATATCTGTGTGAAATCTAAGGATGCTGGTGTCGTGTAGGAAAAAAAGAAAAAAATCACCACGAAATAAATCATAAAAGCAAACAACAAAATGACTAAATAACAAATAACAAAAACCTGAAGATGCTGATAACATTGAATTAAGTGGGGTTTTTTTATTTGTTTTTTTTTTTGTTTTTGTTTTTTTTTATCGTATATCATTTCATAAAAAAACAGTCGTAGAACAAGAATTATAGCGAAACAACACAGCCAATCAAATTATTTTAAAGGTAAAAGTTTTAAAATTAAAATTTTTCAATATTACCTCAAAAAGAAGGATGCCATTAACAATTTTAAATCAGTCTGCAGCTACGTCAATCTTTTCTTTGGTTTTTAATAGTCTTCCCCTTTCTATCTTTTAACAAACATGCACTTTAATCAATCGGCTGATTTCATTATACATTAAATACCAGGCTTGAAACTACGACAGACGCACTACGTCTAAAAGACTCATTAATGACGCTCGAATGAAAAAAAGGTAAAAGGGCCAAATATATTACGAAGGTGAACAACATTGAGGACCCCAAATTCCGAAATGTTTTGCCAAATACAGTTATGTTTTCTTTTCCTGTGGTATAAAACTTTCGTATTTCGTAAAATTCCAAGTTTTTTATACAGTTGATTTTTTTTATTCTCCTATTCTCTGACTGCTTTTGGCGTCTTTACACTTATTTTGTTAGTTAATATGTAATGATTGATACGTAGGGCTTGGCAAACCTGATTTATTTTATCAGTTGTGGTTGACTTTGGACTAGGTCTCATTAACTGCTAGTACTCTTTTATCGGTGCTTTTCGCCTTATGCCTGTTTGTTAGTTTTTCTTTTGGTGCTTCTTACCGATCTTTTGAGTGAAGCTATTTGAAAAGAATTTTTACAGTTTGTTCTAATTTTTAACCGTTTTCAAATTTCAGGAACAATACCGACAAATGAACTAAGCAAAATAAGCAAATGGTTGCTTCCTGAAAGTTTTGTTAAGTCGAAAAAATCAGTTTGACAAAGTGTATCTATCATTATCTTCTTAAATTGTAGGGTAATATCTGTAAGGTAATATCTATTTCTATGTTATTTTAAAGACATAAGAAAATCAATGTTTAAAGAAAGACGACCCATTTTCATCTATTTTGAACATACAAAATTCAGTTCTAACGTTTAATTTCATAGTATGTTTCAAGCGATAAATATAGCTGCGAACATATTTTATAAAATGTGTACTCCATTGCAAAGAAACCAACAACAAGATAACACAAACTAATGTTATAGTGATTCAAAAATAACATCATTAAAAATACCAAGCTTTTATTTAAGAAATACATACACGAATTTTGTCTACACCAGACTCGTGACATATGGTTGAAACAGAAGACTGCATTGCACAAAACGCATTTTAGTAGTTTTTGTAAAATGTATAGATTATCCAATTTTCTGGAAATTGATTTCGCAAAATATCAGCCGCGAGCGTTATAGGAAACTTGGTGGCGAGTGAGCGTATATCTAATCGCAGATAACTCGATGATCTGTTTAACGTTCTATCTCTATCTTTTCTCCCTCCCTCAGACAGTTTAAGATTGGCAAAACAAGTTGTGTCCATTTGTTGGCTCTTTAAAAGTCATCTTATGTGTTTCAATTTACACCCTGGATTTTAGCTATACAATGCCTAAATAGTTAATTGGTATCAATTAATTAACAGTGCCACCAAAACTACAATATTGATGTTTAAGAAAGTTGAAATATACATTGACATTAATTGTTTTCTTCATACCATGATGTTTTCCTACCGAAGGTCGGTGGTTCTCTCCGTGCACTCCGGCTTCCTCCACCAATAACAACTGACCGCCACAAAATAGCACAATAGTGTTGAAAGTGGCGTTAAACACCAATCAATCAATCAATCAATCATACCATGATGATATGTTTTGTTAGAGAAGAGAGGAGGAATATACCAATAAGGATATTCAAACTAATAAGTATAAAAAAAACGATCAGATATTCAATAGATGTGTGGTATGTCGTGGTAGAAATAACAAAAATTAATTTTTATCATCATCTGAACTTGAAGAATATCATATATATTGTTACGCAAAAAAAGGTACCGGCTTTATTTGATACATTGTAACAGTGACTCTGATAAAATGAAATGTTCATGTTTGATTGGAATGAATCATTTCAAGATGTTTATGAGATTTTCGTCAATTTCATGTATCTATAGCTAGATAAATGGTATCTTCAGATGGAAGAGCTTAATTTAAAAATATGAACGGTAATGTTGACCTTATCAGACTATTTAAAAACACGTTAAAACATTATATATCATACTTTTATAACTATGTGTGGGGTGATGAAGATGTTGGAAAAACGTCTTTCATGAAAACACGTGATGATGTAAGAAAAAGGTAAACAGACAAAAAACAAATCACAAAACACAACATGGAAAACTAAAGACTGAGCAACACGAACCCCAGCAAAAACTGTGAGTGATCTTAGGTGCTCCAGAAGGGTAATCAGATCCTGCTCCACATGTGGCACCCGTCGTGTTGCTCATTTAAGTACAAACCCGGTGGTAATTCTAATTCGGCAGGTCACACTCGGGGAAAAGGGGACGGGATTGTAGTTACGACATTTGGAACATATCCGTCGTCATTTGTGAAATGTAAATGGTTAAGGCTAAAATAAACCAATGAGTAACATGGGAAAATCCATTAAATGCATACAGCTTGTTATTCATGATAATCAAAAGTACTTCGTATATCCTCATTAGACATTATTTGCCTTTTTCCTCATATCAAAGGCAATACATTTTCCTTTGCCCTAATTGAACTTAGAAGTTTTTCTAGACTGTAACGAGACACGTATATCTAAGTGCTAAATTTAAATGCAAGGAAGATCAGTAAAAATTGCATAGAGAAAAGCAACCACAACCTATATATATTTTGTAGGGATGGCAACGAGTACTTCACCCCTTTGTTGATCATTAAATGTGTTTTTTTACGGTTCCCAAATGCTGTTGTTTGAGTAAACATTTTTCTATATATCTGGTCCTACGTAATAATGTTGAGGATTTTACGTTCATAAAACAAGACAACGGCCCACAATAAATAACATGGATGTAATTTTGTGTTTTCATTTTGTAAAAGTTTTACCGAGCGAGTACTCGAGTATCGCTCGGTAAATCCAACGAATACTCGATGAGTAAATCTTCATCGAGTTGACATCCCTAATATTTTGACAAAAAAGATTGACCTATTTTTTTTTCTTTGGTTCTAACAAATGTCTGTCCATTCTTCTTTTTTCAATAACTACTGTTTGCACAGTACTTATTCAGGCAGAAGGGCTCTTTTCAGTTTTATAATTTCAAAAATATAGTCATCATCATTAGTAAAATCAGCGTATGTTATGTGTCTTAGTTTATCTGGAATATCACACGCCTCCAGATAAAGTGGAATGATACAGTCTTTTCTAGATTCCATTGACTCAAGTAATGCTTGATTGGTCTCAAACTGACACCAGTAGCTGTTAACAAACTTATTGGTTATAACCAATAAGATCTTTGAACTTTTCCTGAGAGAATTTTCAATATTTTCAAATATGAATTTACCAGGTTCAAAATCTCGGTCCGCTATACAACCTAAAAGAAAAATAAATCTTAGCATTTTTTTTTATATTTTACTGTGGGAAAATAAACCGATTAATAATACAATCCACGTTAAAAGGAACATTTTTTCTATTCTTGTGTGTATCTTGTCAATGCTTGTCAAGATTTACGTATTATTACATGTATGAAGATTTGCATTTAGAAATGTTGTATTTGTTTTTCTCTAATTTCATATTTCATCACTGGGTCGATACCATAGCTGGTAGACTGATTGTCGCAGAAGTTTCATCGGCTCAGTAGTGATGTGTTATAACATACCCTTCATAAAATTTTTAGAACTAAGATTCCAACTCCTCCTGGCATTATGTGATTTTTTTATTCCTTTTAGGCTCTTTTAAATATATCCTGATATATTCAAGCATTTATACATCTTTGGCTTTAAATATAAATTTAAACGTAGACGGTGAAGGGCGTATGGACGCAACACAATAATGACGTTTTTTTTAAATATGTTCTAATTAATCCTACTGCTGAAACCAAAATTTCAATACCCCACATCTATCTATACGTTCAAAGTACCTTTAAACTATGCGTACCTCTAAGGACCACATCATCCTCTGTAAAAGCAGATTCTAAATCAGCTACAAGTCGACTCAAGACCCAGTCAGCATCTTTATGACTATGAGAGACAAAGAAGTCGTAGACAAATCCTTCTGATGAATTATTGTTTCCTGGTCCAACTGGAACTGAATTCGTTTGAGAAATTTCTTGTAGCTGTGGCTCAATGTCATCCATAAGGTTCAGGTCTGGAACTGATCTTATGTATTCATGGAAAATTTCTGAATTTTCTATGTCATGAGTCAACAATTGAGTACAAGTTTGTACGCACTCAGTAATCAACTTTACCCTGGGGCCGTCTAATATGTGCGGTATCTTGAAAATGTCCCCAATTACTCTCATTAAAGCCTCTTTCTCGTGTTTGAAAATGAATTTATAAACATCTTGAATCTTTTCATATTTTTCTTTCCCTTTCATCATTGTAAACACGAACTCTTTCAATAGATAAACTACATTTGGTTTTAAATCCACCTCCTTCATATATCTTTTTATCATGTATCGACATGCAAGCTTTAGTGCAATATTTGATTTAGTATTTGATAAAGACACAGCTCGCTTCATCCAGTCAACGGCAGATTTTATCTCATCTAAGTCATATAAAACGGTTCCCATATGATATGCGAGAAAGTAGTTAGTTGGACCGCCTTGGTGGAGTCCAAAGTTAAGGTAATCTAAAGCATTAAGTAAATACCTTTTTTGAAATTCTTTAACGTACCTAAATCCATATTCCCGTATGTCTGGAAACTTTGCTAAAAACTGACAAATTTCGACAAGTTGGCATATTGATCTGGGTGTTCCTTTCGAAATAAAGCATTGGTAACCATCGTTGACTGCAAGTTCGAAAAAAGTTCTTGCTTTTGATTTATTATATCCAAAATACACCTGTCCGAGGTCTTTTCTGACTAACATTCTGGTGCTATAACCAAACCAGTTTAAAGAACTTTCATTTATAGAACTTGATAATAAACGTTGAGCTTTGTGGAGCAAATCTTTTTTATCTTTTGGTGCACGATGCTGTTCTGATAAATTCCATAATGCTCTTCCATAACGATTCAAAATAAATGTGTCACTTCTATTCATTACTTGTGCTCTTTCAAATGCTGAAATTGGATTATTCATAAAAACTCGAAAGAGCTGATCACTGATAAAAGAATAATTATCATCAGAAGTCAGAAAATATTTCTGTCGTCGGATAAGAATGTGTCCAATAAGTGCATACGACCTTGCTTGGTATATAATAAAATTTTGGTTCGTTGTACCTTTATTTGTACTTATTTTCCAAAATATTTCCGTTGCTTTTAGGGTGATGTCTTTCTTTTCTTGAAATCTATCTCTGCCATCTTCGGAACTTAAATCTTTAATGGAATCGTATTTTCTATTGAGTGCTACACCTATGTAAAAAGTCCAAATAATGTTCTCAATCGTAACGTCGAACAAGCCTCTGGCCTGCTCGAATTTCTCAAGAGCTGTTATTCTTCTAGTGAGCAATTCACTTTGGCGTTTACATTCAATGGCCAATTGCAAATTGCTCAATGCTTGTTTATTGTGATAAACGCATCGTTGTAAGTAATCTTTCCTTCGCCCTGTTCCCTTTTTATGCTCTGATAATAACATCCTATAGCTTTCAGAAAGTCTATTTTTAGAAATGTGTTCGATGTTTGCAGATTCTTCATTCAAAATTGCATATCCTTGTTCCATTAAGCATATTGATTTTGTGCGAAGATCATTAGCAGTTTTGCCTTGCAAGATATTTTCTAGTCTTGACTTGTACTGATCCGCTTCTGTAGTTCTATGGAGAGTACGACTGAGTTGCTCTATATCTGCTAATGCATTTAAGTTTCTGGGATCGCGCCTTAGTATATTTTCTAGATATTCCCTTGATTCGATCTTTCCACGAGATGACTTGTTTTTCAAGATGGCGATCATGTTTTGCAAAACATTATGGACTATGATGTGTTCCTCAGTTAGACGTTTGTTCAAGCCTTCTACAGAATCTGCGATTAATTGCATATCGTTTTCAAATGCAATATTTAAGTTCAAATTTGAAAGTCCTGGCACAATGGCAACATATTCCGCCATTTGATAAGTTATAAAATGTATACTATCAAATATAAAGTCTTTTTCAGTTTGCAAAACCTAACTTTGTTTATCTGTAAAAGGAAATAATTACTATCTTAAGTTATCTTAAGTATGTTGATGAAGGATACGATAGTCTATAAAAATATTCATTAAACATAGAAAAATATAAATTAAAATACGAAGACGTGATATGTTTGCTAATGAAACAACGTACCACCAAAGACCAAAGGTGGAGGATGTAAACAATATTAGGCCACCGACCGGCTTTCAACAATATGCAAACTCATACCGTATGGTAAGCTTTAAAAGACCTCGGATGTAAAAAAATAAACAATTCAAAGGTGAAAAACTACGGTAATAAGCTTATATTTGTCAGCACAAATGTATATGACAAAAAAATGTTCTGGATTCCCCCTAACAACATTGTTATGACTATTTTCATTTTGATGCAGCATATGTATATTTATAAACCTTTAGTTTAGTTTGGAATGGTCTTGGTTGCTCACATGGTTGACGTGATTGACGTCTACAGACAAACTACAGACGATCTACTTTTATATAGAAATAAGAAGATGTGGTGTGAGTGCCAATGAGACTACTCTCCATCCAAGTCACAATGTGTAAAAAGTAAACAATTATAGGTCATTTTACAGCCTTCAACACGGAGCCTTGACTCGCACCGAACAGCAAGCTATAAAGGGCCCGAAAATGACTAGTGTAAAACAATTCAAACAGGAAAACCAACGGTCTAATCTATAAAAAAACGAGAAACGAGAAACACTTAAGAACCACATGCTAGATTATTTTAGGTGGATTATACTAAGTTGGAATCGGATCCAATACTACTACTCTACAATTCGACATTTATTACAAAAGATAAATTCATTTAAACTAAAACTCTTTTCAGAAATATGGGTATTTGATGCTACTCCGTAAACAATGTATCTTGCCACTTTTCACGCTCTAACGGTACCCTCTCTAACTTTAAAATGAAAACTGGTACAAAACAAACCAGGAAGAGTTTTAGTAGGATCGTAGACAACTTTGACATGTTTGAACGTCTATAAAACACGACTCGGGTTTATGGTGACACCTCGAATCGTTTAAAGAGACAACTCAGACCGTCCTACAGACAATGGCTACTGTATCATTTGATCGATTTGAAGGCATATATCAAAGACAACTAGGATCGTCAATAGACACAAATATTAAAACATATACGGTATCGTATTGTAAGCTACTGAAGGCCACGCTATAAAAAAAATAATTAAAAAGAGAAAACCATGGCAAAACAAATACAACAACCACTGAATTACAGGTTAAAATGACTTGGAATAGGCAAACATACAAAATGTTACGAGATTAACAATGTAAATTGAGCTATTAATAAACTCTCCATTAACCTTTGAAAGTGGTATAACAGCAAAGCATAAGAACAAATTGTATCTGTTGGATACGAAGTAAAATAAACAACTAACTACTGGAACATTTTAATACACCTCGAGTATTCTGATACATAAATCAGGCATAAATCATTATAAATAAATAGTGTTATGGTAAATAGTGATACATTATGAAATTAAAATCATGTTAATTATTGCTTGTACACTTACCTTTCATCTAACATATCTACACTGAATTGTATCAATAGTTGATAGTATACATTCTAAACAAACAGATATATAAGTACGCTACAGATATTATATAATGTTTTAAATGGAGGTCAGCTGTTATATTTTATTGATAGTTATTTTCTGAAAACGTCTTTTCAGAAATGAGGGCAAGCGATTTCAATGAGGAGGATTTTTTTTTATTTACTGATGTAACAAGATACATGTTAGATAAGTGGGTATATCTTATACATCCGTCAGTAACATGCTTTACTTACATAAATGTACCCAGGTGCGGATCCATGATTATGAAAAAGGGGGAGCCCCTTGCAAGCCAACGTTTGGAGTGATACTTGTAAATAGTCTAAGTATGCATTTATCATATAAGAAGTTCCAGAAGAGAGCCCGGGTCCCCTTGCACCCCCCCCCCCTTTTCCCCCTCTCCCCCTAAATCCGTTTTTGGTACCCGAGTTCTGCCAATCAATCAAACAAATTGTTTAATTATCAAATTGTAAATTAATACTCGTACGCTTGCTTACCTTTCATCATCTGATATATCGATCTACACTTAATTCTATAAATAGATCAAAACATTCAAAGCAAACAAACAAATAAGCTACAGATATTATATAATTCAATAATGTATTTTAAAAGGAGGTCGTGTGTAATTAGTAACTTCTGAAGCATCTTTATCGATATTTTTTTTAGGAATTATAACGATCATGTACACGGATGACATTTAATTTTTTAATCTGTTGTAATAAGATAAAATTAAGACATAATTGGATTTATTTAAATTTCCTACTTAACAAGCTACGGACGAAATGTACTCAAGTCATCCAATCTATGAGGATTGTTTACTGAATATTTAAAAGTATTTTTGGGTCAGTCGAAAACAAAAAGTGACGGCATTCAATAGCGTTTCAATTAGAAATACAGGGGCAGTTATAGACCTGCACAGAAAAATGGACGGATAAAAGAGAAATCGAGAAAGTAGAGAAATTTTATAGAGAAAAGAAGGGAATGAGAGAGGATATGGAAGAAGAAAAGGAGAGGCAGAGGCATGGGCAAGGAGGAGATATATGTGTCCTCTAATAAAACTTAATTAAAAAACTATCTGCATTTACATGTTCATTCCCATCGAATTTATTATTGATCTCCTAATTAGATTTCAAGACCAGCAATCCAACATGTGTGATATGATTGCAAATGAGACAACTATCCACAAGAGACACAGGACGAAGATGAAAACAAGCCACTTTTGGTCACCGTCTGACCTTTAACAAAGAACAAAACCTATACATTATAGCGAGCTGGAAAGGCTCCTGCATCACAAAATCTAAATCAATTCAAAAGATAAAACAAACGGGCTCATTTATTCTAAACACAATGAAAGAAAAATAAACATTGGAGACACCAAAGAACGACAATGCTCGTTCATAAGACATAGCGTATGCTCGTTTTTTAAGTCAATGTTCATGGGTTGATAATCTCTAATAGAACACATTTATTTATATCCAATTGACACTTGATTTGGAAAATTCCTATGATAACTAATAATTTTAAAATGACTTCTTCAAATATAAGACTTACCCTTGATAAGTGTTACAGAATTATATTTGTTCATGTTTGCAAAAATGAGCAGACATGTTGACATATATAATATATTTGTGATATAATTATCATGGGGCTCAGCATCACATTTGAAATGGTTAAAGGTCAGGGAATTAAAAAGAATAAAAAGCTTCAATGATAAGCTTGAATAAAAACAAGGAATGAAGTGATTTTATTCACAGACGCTGAATATTTTCTGATACGTTTGTAATATAATATTTTATTCTTGTTTCGGGATAAATATGATTTAAATGAAAATATTTCAATGCAGTTTTTGTTCTCAAGAAAACTTATCAGTAAACTGTTTATTATTAACTGCAATTAGAATCATTTGAAGTTTCTCGTGATGTCGGGAGAAGTGTTTCTTTATTCGTTCAAACTATTTGCCAAACAGTAAGTGTGCGCATTAATATATAAATCGCTAGCACAATAAATCTCATTATTTTTAGGCTCCCTTGCAATTGTATTAGTATTCCTTTTTAGAAAAGCCATGGCAATTTTCCACAAAATTCTAATGTCAGTGGGTGGAGTGACATTTCTTATTACTTTTTAAGACATGCGCGAAGTTGCCTTTTGGCATATCTGAAAAAACACTTAGTAATACACATATATATCTACAGTTTACCATACGGTTTGGGTTTTGCTCATTGTTGAAGTCCGTGCAACGACCTATCGTTGCATTTAGTAAAATTGAGAATGGAAATGGGGAATGTGTCAAAGAGACAACAACCCGACCATAGAACAGACAACAACCGAAGGCCACCAATGGGTCTTCAATGCAGCGAGAAACTCCCGCACCGGAGGCGTCCTTCAGCTGGCCCCTAAACAAATATGTATACTAGTTCAGTGATAATGGACGTCATACTAAACTCCAAATTATACACAAGAAACTAAAATTAAAAATGATACAAGACTAACAAAGGCCAGAGGCTCCTGACTTGGGACAGGCGCAAAAATGCGGAGGGGTTAGTCATGTTTTTTGATATCTCAACCCTCCCCTATACCTCTAGCCAATGTAGAAAAAATAAACGTACAACAGTACGCACAGTAAAACCCAGTTTAAGAGAAGTCCGAGTCCGATGTCAGAATAGGAAACAAAAGAAAATAAACAAAATGACAATAATACATAAATAACAACAGACTACTAGCAGTTACTGACATGCCAGCTCCAGACCTATTCAATATACATCTCTGGCTTTCAAATAATTGGGGTTGAGCGTTTCTAATGAAGGTAATTTCAGAAAAGCGCTTCGGACACACAAAATTTATAAAGATTTATTTTCATTTTCATGAATATTTGGCGATCCATGATCATCGGAATCGGTTTTATTACACCCTTTATTATAACGTATAGAGATTGATTGACATGTGATGTACGCATAAAATGAATACTTTTACTATCAACTCTAACTATTATAACTGGATGTATAGTAGTAAGTATACTACCTTTAGCTTTATACATTTTGTTTCTGAATTCCTTCATAGGTTTCGAGTTTGGTCGTAAGAAAAGGTGTCTATTATTTTGACTTATGATAGTAAGTATATATTTGTACTACATTTAGCTTAATACTTTTATTCTGAATTTCTTCATAGGTTTAGAGTTTGTTCGTAAGAAACTGTTACTTTAACCGGTGTCGATTATTTTGTACATGATTGTACACTACAGAACGATGTACACATTAACGATGTACCCTCATCAACCTTATGAGAGGCGTATTTACGATTTCAGGTGTTTAGCTGAATTTATCCTGAATGACCATAGATCTAGCTTCGATTAACCTTCTGAATTCATGCAACAATAAATTTTTAATTTTGACGTTAATTGCAACATTTTACGGGAACTAGCGCGTGTCTTTAAATATTGGCAGACAAATTTGAATACAAGTTTTACTACGTCTATTTATGAGAAAAGGGATAATGTGAAATATTCAGATTGCTGTAGGCGTGTATGGTGACTCATCTTGATTGAATGATTACTTCCATCATTGTTTTAACATTGTTCAAGACTTATGCTTTTAATGAATATCAATGAACAGTATGTACAATGTAGCTACAAAGGAATGTCATGCATATCTTTATCGTCAATATAGTATTTTGGCGCATCCACAACTTTATTGTCTTCTGACGCTGAAAATTTATCATTATCTATTTCATTATCCTGATTTTCCAAGGCTTTATGAACTGATCGGTCCATTTTGAGGTCACGTGATAGCGCTTTATTGTCTTTATTAGAATTTTGTTCATGATCACTTTCTGGCTTTTTAAATGAAACATTGTTCGTCTCTGTAACTGTGTGTCCAATGCTGGCAGTTTGATCGGTGGCTTTATTGGTAACAGTCTGCTCTAACTTTACTTGTTGAACAGACACTTCATCGTTAACAGTTTGTTTTGAATTAACTTGTTGAGCAGAAACTTCATAGTCAGCTGTTTGCTTAGCATTAACTTGTTGACCAGACATATCATCGTTAGCAGCTATTTTTGCATTAACGTGTTGACAAGACACTAAGTCTTCATCGTTAACACTTATCTTAATATTATCATGTTGAGCAGACACGTCATCGTAAACAGTTTGTGTATCATTAACTTGTTGACCAGACACTTCATCGATAACAGTTTGTTTAGAAGTAGGTTCTTCGTCACTCATTTTATTGGAAATAGTTTGTTCATCTTTAACTTCTCCCGTTGTCACTTTTTCGCTATAAGATTTATCGGTATTTGATTCTTGTTTAACGCTTCTTTCGTTAACAGTTTTATCAAAATTCTCAATTCCGTTAACAGTTTGTTCACAATGTTCTTCTTGGTTACCAGTTATTGTATCGTAAACAACACGTTCAATATGCATCCCCACTGTTTGGGATTCTGGTTTGATGTTGCATGTAAAAGAAGTTTCGTTTTCATCATCCGATTTGCTTGAGGTAACGTACCCGTCATTGTCGTTGCCTAACTCAACATCGACTATCGCAGAATTTCTTGGTGTCTCAGGCAGTTTTCCAGTCATAACCTATCAAAAAACAAGTAAAAAAATAAAAATGGTCCATCTTTTTTAGAAATGCTGAATAAGGATGAGTGTAAAACACTTGCAAAAGTGTTGCAGGTTTCATAAAATATAAATGTATTCCGGGTTCGATTCTACCAATGTGTTTTGGGTATTGAAATATGATCATGACTGGACATTTTACATCCGGCAATAAAACAAATTTTAAAGAGGTTTGCACGTTTGCTGAAAACATAAATTAAAAGCCACTTTAAACGTAAATGACTGACATGCAATTACATGTATGCTGTCAAGGTACCTATAATATATAAACTAAATTTCAAAGTATATGTTTCATCAATAGTTTTTAAGGGGTGTAATCAGTGGAACAGGAACATCTTGAATCATCCCCCAGTTCTTATTTGGGTTCGTGCAGCTTATATTATCCTATAAGTTTATATTTTGTGTCTATCATTATCAAAACTAAGTTTAATATGTATATGCAGTTATCTTTCTTTATGCATGTATATTTTGTGCACAAATTGTATTGATGTCCCAATTATAATTTGTACAGAATTTTTTGTACAAATTATCAAACATTTTTTTTTTCACAAAAAGTATTTGGATAAACAAAGCACACTTTTTTGGTTAAGCTTATAACTGTAATATATGGATGACTACATGATAGTCTATAACCATACAATATATGCGCATTTAATACCAATCACAACGGTAATCGAATGTAAACATAGTCACATGGAATTTGATTGGATCTAAGCCACACATTAGAATAGTACCATCCCTCCACATGTTAATGGGTCCATGCAATAATTACTCTTCTAAATACGTTGTATAAATTCTAATTTCGTGTCGTACGAAAAATGCCTTTATCCACGAAGTCCAAGTTCATTGACCTTTCACCCACTATATATATCCAGCCATTTTCAGGCCTCATAATTTCATTTGTATTCACAAATGGAACTAACACAAGCAATCAGCAGAGGATAACATATGAAATTTAGGTGAAATGATGTGTTGTTTATCACATTCATATGAACAAAATATATCACATTCATACATGAGAGAATCTCATAACTGATCAAAATTATGAAACAAACCAGTATCATTTACATTAAAAGTATGTTTCATTATTATACGTTATTTTGATTGGCTAACAGTAATCTCGCTTCATTCTTCATTTCAAAATCAATTGCATGAATTGAAACATACATGATGACACACGTTTCCACAATAAAATGCACAGGTAAATAAAAGAAAATCTTGATAGTAATCGTGTTAATTCATGATCATAGCGAAAAAATGTAATTTCATAGGGTTGTAAAAGCGTTGACCGTGCGTACATTTTTAGAATGTACTTCGGTCAAGTTGAACGCTTTTACACCCCAATGAATTTACAAAAAGAAGCATTCAATTCTTAAATAAAACAATTTCTTTTCATTCACATAATCAAATATCTTACCGGATTATCTCTAAAACTTACTTCCTGGAAATTCTTTTTCTTTCGAAACCTTTAAAGTAAAACATAATACTGAGCATAGACGAGTTCACAACGTAATGATACGTTAGTTTTATATAGGAGACGCAATGGATAAGCGTTGGTTCGTTAAAGAGATATTATAATCACGGTAATGGTTGAACGTGGTATCTGACGAATAATCTGAGTTTGAGTATCTCAGTCTTACATTGTCCTATGGATCCCGAAAAACTAATTTTCATTTCATGCAGTCACTTAAGTACTAGTACTCTTTCTGTCTTAATACTGTTAATTTCTGTATATATTGCATGTGTAAGTATGGTTAAATATGGATTAATCATCATCAGATTTGGAATTTTGAGTATCATTTTAAAATGACAATTACCTGTTGCATTCCTTTTTTGCAGCACGTAAGCATAATCTGTATGCAGCAGATGTTAAATTCATTTGATTAGCATTGTTCCTTATATTCGGTAAAGTAATTATGATACATTAACTTCTGTTTTATGTTAACTTCTTAAGGCTTAATATTTTATCTATAGCTTTAACAAGACTTCTTTCGACTGGCGGGGATCTGATTTTAAGGGGATCGTATAAAATACCTTATTTTCGATTTAAAGTAATGTCACACAATATATCCCAATGAGATTACAGAATATAAATCAGTAAGTATGAGCTTGAATATTGCAAATAGATAAGAATAGAACAAGAGAATAATAAATTTGGACTATTCCATGGTTTGATTGAATGATAAATTGGCGTTTGCTTAACGTCCAGTGGCAAATATTTCATGCATATCTAAAGTGAAAACACAATAGTTGGATGTTAATATACCCTACATTGTACTATACAGACACTCTCCTTTTGATTTATAACGTGCTAGCTTTCAAGGTAACAATCCACAGAAAGACAAATCATGACATACTCTGACAAATTAATCTGGTTTTTACCTTTAATCCTAAATTCTTATAGCGAAAATACAAATTTTGAAGATTTTGGTTTTATCCAGCCCGAAAAGTACAAAGTTTAACTAAGCGACAGACAAAGGTATTTCACGGTTATAAGTCATGAAACAAATATAGAACGTTTACGATCATATGTCATATATATTCGTTTCTGATTAACGCAGTGATGATGGCGTCTTTAAAACATAGACGAAGATTGTTCAATGATGAAAATACCAAAAACACCAACCACAATCAGTGTACCGATCCAAGGGAACATCTCTACTAAGTGTATATGATATTTTTAATGAGTTCTAACGAATGAAGACGGTTTCTACGATTGTCCAAGAGGGACAACATTACAAGCCGACAGACCATATGCCAGCTGAGGACTAATTTGCTTTGATGACTAGTCATATGAGTCTGTTTATACCTCCGGCTACCTAACTTGTTTCAGTTTGGTTTGTATTACTTATGGCTGAGTTTTCAAAAAAATGTTTACGCGCATTTCTGTTTTTTCTGTGTTCTGTTTCAATTTGCATTGTCCTCATTTTCAATAAGGGGCTGTTGATACCGCCTCTCTACTTGTCTTGATTTGCAGTAAGAGGCTGTTGATAACGCCTCTCTACTTGTCTTGATTCGCAGTAAAAGGCTGTTAAAAGCGCCTCACTACTTGTCTTGATTCGCAGTAAGAGGCTGTTAATAGCGCCTCCCTACTGATCTTGATTCGCAGTAAGAGGCTGTATATAACACCTCTCTACTTGTCTTGATTCGCAGTAAGAGGCTGTTGATAACGCCTCTCTACTGGTCTTGATTTTCAGTAAGAGGCTGTTAAAAGCGCCTCACTACTTGTCTTGATTCGCAGTAAGAGGCTGTTAATAGTGCCTCCCTACTGATCTTGATTCGCAGTAAGAGGCTGTATATAGCACCTCTCTACTTGTCTTGATTCGCAGTAAGAGGCTGTTAATAGCGCCTATCCACTACTCTTGATTCAGTAAGAGGCAGTTAATAGTACCTCTCTACTTGTCTTGATTCGCAGTTGAGGCTATTAATAGCGCCACTCTGCTTGTCTTAATTCGCAATAAGAGGCTGTTAATAACGCCTCTCTACTTGTGGTGATTCGCAGTAAAAGGTTCTTAATAGCGCCTCTCTACTTGTCTTGATTCGCAGTGAAAGGCTGTTAATAACGCCTCTCTACCTGTCTTGATTCGCAGTAAAAGGCTGTTGATAACGCCTCTCTACTTGTCTTGATTCGCAGTAAGAGGCTGTTAAAAGCGCCTCACTTCTTGTCTTGATTCGCAGTAAGAAGCTGTTAATAGTGCCTCCCTACTGATCTTGATTCGCAGTAAAAGGCTGTATATAGCACCTCTCTACTTGTCTAAATTCGCAGTAAGAGGCTGTTAATAACGCCTCTCTACTTGTGTTGATTCGCAGTAAAAGGTTGTTAATAGCGCCTCTCTACCTGTCTTGATTCGCAGTGAAAGGCTGATAATAACGCCTCTCTACCTGTCTTGATTCGCAGTAAAAGGCTGTTAATAACACCTCTCTACTTGTCTTGATTCGCAGTAAGAGGCTGTTGATAAAGCCTCTCTACTTGTCTTGATTCGCAGTAAGAGGCTGTTAATAGTGCCTCCCTACTGATCTTGATCCGCAGTAAGAGGCTGTATATAGCACCTCTCTACTTGTCTTGATTCGCAGTGAGAGACTGTTAATAGCGCCTATCCACTAGTCTTGATTCAATAAGAGGCTGTTAATAGCACCTCTCTACTTGTCTTTATTCGCAGTTGAGGCTATTAATAGCGCCACTCTGCTTGTCTTAATTCGCAGTAAGAGGCTGTTCATAACGCCTCTCTACTTGTGTTGATTCGCAGTAAAAGGTTGTTAATAGCGCCTCTCTACTTGTCTTGATTCGCAGTGAAAGGCTGTTAATAACGCCTCTCTACCTGTCTTGATTCGCAGTAAAAGGCTGTTAATAACGCCTCTCTAATTTTCTTGATTCGCAGTAAAAGGCTGTTGATTACGCCTCTCTACTTGTCTTGATTCGCAGTAAGAGGCTGTTAAAAGCGCCTCACTACTTGTCTTGATTTGCAGTAAGAGGCTCTTAATAGTGGCTCCCTACTGATCTTGATTCGCAGTAAGAGGCTGTATATAGCACCTCTCTTCTTGTCTGAATTCGCAGTAAGAGGCTGTTTATAGCACCTCTCTACTTGTCTTAATTCGCAGTAAGAGGCTGTTAATAACGCCTCTCTACTTGTGTTGATTCGCAGTAAAAGGTTGTTAATAGCGCCTCTCTACTTGTCTTGATTCGCAGTGAGAGGCTGTTAATAACGCCTCTCTACCTGTCTTGATTCGCAGTAAGAGGCTGTTAATAACACCTCTCTACTTGTCTTGATTCGCAGTAAGAGGCTGTTAATAGCGCCTATCCACTAGTCTTGATTCAGTAAGAGGCTGTTAATAGCACCTCTATACTTGTCTTGATTCGCAGTTGAGGCTATTAATAGCGCCACTCTGCTTGTCTTAATTCGCAGTAAGAGGCTGTTAATAACGCCTCTCTACTTGTGTTGATTCGCAGTAAAAGGTTGTTAATAGCGCCTCTCTACTTGTCTTGATTCGCAGTAAAAGGCTGTCAATAACGCCTCTCTACTTGTCTTGATTGTGAATTTTAAGAGAATCAGGACTACACAATTGTACTTATGATGAAAAAATAAATTGCATTTTGAGGTTGTCTACAATAGGATGGTACAAAGAAAAAGTAAATACGTGTACTCACCTGTAAATGTATTTTATGTACAGATACACTATGACAACAACACCAATTAAAACAACCAATGGAATCACAACAACAAGAGTGATCGTTGTTGTTTTGTCCACCATCTTTGTTTCTTATAATTATCTGAGTTACAAAAAAAATCATAATACAATTTATATCAAAGATATATGTTCTTTCAAAGTATTATTGCTTCTTATATTTTATATGGATTTAAAATCGGTTCCCTTATGTTTAGCTTGTAAAAACGGTTATTTTTAGCTGTACAAAAGATTGACGGTTCTCATTTATTTTTCCTTTTTATACATTGCACAATGTAGCGTTTTTCTGCATTAATTGTTCTTGATATTTTTTATATGAAATCTAATACAGCGGGCCAATATAAGAGTGTAGGAAGTGATGATATTTACATCAGCGGAATATTTCCTTTGATATAAAAAAAGTAAGGAGAGGTGGAATGATTGCAAATGAGACAACTATTCACCAAAGTTAAAATGAAGTGGATGTAATCAATTATAGACAACAATACGACTTTCAACAATGAAAAAACCCATAACGTATAGTCGTCTATAAAAGGCCCCGAGTAATACCGATAAAATTTATAGGACAGTTAAATTGTTTTTGGAAAAGGTTAAGTTTTCTTTTTTTTAAGGATCAAGCAACAAAAACAAAAACAAATCCAATGAGGTAGACTTTACAATACATTCGTAGCATATTTACAAACCATATACGCCTTACCTCCTTTTGAACTATTTCTTTCTGATATTCGCTGTAATATGATATCTTGGAGTTCGGAACTTTCTACCTCAATTTCACAACAAGGTTGTTCCAAAACAACAGGATAACAGCCAAACACGAACAGGATATCACAATGAATGTATTCTGACCTGATAAAACACGAGTCTTTTATTAAGATGTCAAAAGATAGATAAAGATTTTTATTTCAGCGTGAATTTCCGGATCACAAGATTTAATAAAATTTTAAGATAGTGGTATGGGTATTTCAACCCATATCTAAAAAATGTGTTAAAGTGTATTTTGATCATTATCTTAAAAACGAAACTTACACTATCTTACCAAAACGCCTAGGGGACATACGAACATTTTAAAGTACATGAGATAAAAACACATGTCCCCTCCCGATAAACCGTTAAACAGAACTTTACTCATATAATTAACATGAATAAAAAGCAAGAAAAATCTTCTTTTTACGTACTTTAATTTTCATACTGTAATGTTGAGGGGAGGGGGGGGGGGGGGGGGGTGCGTTCCTTATTCCTTCAGAGGTTAAATTTCAGAAGAGCGATTCGGGCGCATCAAATGTAACGGTGTCATTTTCATTATTCATTACCGCTTTTCGAGTGAATGAAATGAAATATGATCACATCAATTTTAATGTCAGTTTAAGTTTCAGTCCAAGAGTATATATTTCATTTATTGCTATATATTAATTTCCTTTCCTGATATATATTTTAGATGAATGTAATATACTGCTGGACTTCAGATAACCAGAAATCAATCAATACATACAATCAATATCCAGACTTCAATTCTCTTATCAATGATGTTATTTTGTTGACATAATATATTTTGATATAACTTACAGGGAAAAAAATAAAATAAATAAATAATAATAATAATAATAATAATAATAATAATAATAATAATAATAATAATAATGAACATAAACTACATGTATATACCTTAATCGTACGTACGATCCATTGAATGAAAAAAATGTATTATTTAGTAATGGATGAAATTACAGTAAAGGATGTATTAACTTCGTTTTAATATAAACCCACACGTATGTAAAAATAAGATGGGATTATATATCTTACTTCTTTATCCAGATTTAAACGGATTACATACTCTGGAAATAAAAAGAGTGAAGACATTCACCTAAAAACTATTTTTGCATGTTAGATAGTTAAATAAATGGTGACCAATAGATATATAATGGTGACCAAAGGATAGTTGACGGTGACCAAAACAATGGCAAAACCAGTTAACAATTTATTGGTGTATAGTGGTTTTATCTGACAGACGGTGTTACTATCAATAGCGATTGAATTATTTCAAATCATATATGCATAAGATGACAATAACACAGCGAATGGCTGCATTTGTAATTTTTGTTTTTACATTCGTACATACATTGTATGTCTTTGACCATTTAAAACATGGCAGATTTCTGCAATCAAGCAATTCGGTCAACACAGTTTCAGTCTCAAATCACAGAACATGATACAATTTCTGATTGTCATAGTATCCCCCGATTTCATTCTGAAGTAAACATTTAGGCTACCCATCCGTCGATATATCAATACGTCAATATAGTTTGTAAGAAACGATTATTGGGACTTCTCAAATTAAAAAAATCGGTTAACACAGTTTCAGTCTCAATTAAATCACAGAAAATGATCCAATGTTTTACTGTCATGGTACATGTCTCCCCCTTTTCTTCTGGACTACATTTAATTCCACCCACCCGTCAATATGTCAACTTGTTAATAGAAATCAAAAGAATACTCACCAAAGATATATTTGTTTACTTTTAAGTATGTAAGAATCCGTTTTATCACAAACAGGAAGTAGAAGATTTAACATACTTGACCTGTTTTCTACAAAGAATTTTTAAGGTGAAAATTTAAAAAAAAGAATCAAATTTCTTACTTGTTTATAAATAGCATTGACACCTTTTACATTTTATTCATTTCCTTGTAAATTTTAATTCTGTCCTGGCGATTATTCATCTATTTCCGGTATTTACGAGAAAATTAAGAATAATACATGATAATGTGTACTGATATTTTAAATATTTTCAGAAGTGATAGGCCAATGACTTAAAAATTTGACATTTCAAGCAATATTTTTCTCGCAAAAATCGGTCTTTTTATCTTTTCTTAGATGTTTAGTGCCACTTATATACCGCTGTTAATCAATAAAAACTTAAAACTGTACTTGAAATAATTTAAATTATTGCTTAAAATGTATGATTTGGTCATTTTTATAAATTTACTTTTTGCAAAAGTATGAATTATTCGAAAAACTAAGGATTTTCTTATCCTAGGCATAGATTACCTTAGCCGTATTTGGCACAACATTTTGGAATTTTGGTCCTCAATGCTCTTCAACTTTATACTTTAATGGCTTTCTAACTATTTTTATCTGAGCGTCACTGATGAGTCTTATGTAGATCAAATTATAAGCCTGGTACCTTTGATAACTATTAAAGAGTTAAAATGTAAGGGGCAACCACTGACTACAAGTAATTACTTCTTAAAAGTGATAGTTTATTTCGAATATATCCATTTTGTGTTTTACTTATATTCGCCTTGGTCCATCATGTATGTCAGTGGTATATTAAATGCAGAACTAACAGTCCTGTTTTTTTTTATATATTTTTAAATTTTAAAGAGATACATTCTAAACAACTTCAGTGGCATATATCTCGTTAAGTGTTTACACATCTTTTGCTCTCAAATATTTGAGTTTATTAGATCCAGTATATGCTTTTAACCCAACTCATGACAGAGGTATTTTTTTTTATTTTGATATCAATCATAAAATTTCAATTTATTTTCGTCCCCTTATAATAAAACATTTAACCTACAGCAAACCTTTCGTTTTGACGTCACAAAACAGTAAAATGTTAATTGTCGTTATCATTAATAAATTAAATGTTGTTGAAATCCCTCTGAATATTACAATAGTTGATAGTCATCATTCGTTTTTATTCATAAGACCGTTAAATGTTAACTGACATTAGTATAAATTTTATTGAAATCAAATTTGCTTTATAATATATGTCAGACCACAAAACTGGTTAGAATACGGTTTAGTCAATAATAAAGACTAATACTGGTAGTATATTATATTCAAATAAATTCATACCTCATGATCTATATATTCATTTTCCGAAATTAAAACATTTTAATTGAAATTAGATGCGAAAAAATAAAATTTAATAGGCTTGAAGAATATGAAAACTATTAACATACTTATAGAATTTGATGTAATGAATAATAAAATCATTATAGATGTCAGGATTTAATTGTGTATTCCAGTCTCGCGTTTCTTCTACAAAAGACTCATGAGTGACCTTCGAATCAAAAAGTTTAAAAGGCCAAATAAATTACGAAGCTGAAGATCATTTAGGACAAAAAGTTCCGATAGATTTGCAAAATACAGATGTATGACTGATTCATCGGGAACCTTTTGTTAGCAATATCGGTATACATGAAAAATCCGCATGATAGTAGACCATTTATAATTGTTGAAGTTGTTATAAAGTCTCTACAAAGACAATATATTTTAGAAAGATGAAAAACAACAAATGATTAGAGTACGTTTGGCATGACGCTTGATTCACACATAAATTTCCTCCGGTACACTCGTAAGGGAGCTACCATTTGATTAAAAATTTTGTCCTGCATTTTTTTTAGTTGTGTAGCAGGAGCAATTTTGCTGGAGATTCGGGGATGCGTACCAGAGCTTGTTCTAGTTTGTGAACTGATTTAAACGGAGACAATGGATGCCAAATGTAAAAGCGCTATCTAAATATCTAAGTAAATGAAAACCAAAAACAGTGAAAACAATATATAATTTATTCAATAAGTACAACTTTTATCATGAAATCCAGAGATTTTTGAAATGGAGCATTCAAGGACTTCAATAATTACCCGTATTAAGAAGGCTTATGGCAGATGCACTAACCTTAAAGGGAAGTTTTGGAAAAGCATAGCTTTCCTTGGTTTTTTTTTATCGTTAAGCTATCCTTGGTTGCACTGAACTTCAGTCCTCAGACAAGTCAACATAATAATTCCAAACCACTTATATAAAATGTATAAGATTTTCAAAGAAGGTTATAAATGATTTGCGACGATGCAAATACTAAACTTTAGAATATAAATAAATATCTTTTACCAATGAATTCCAAATATCAATATCTATTCAATTTAACAAATATGTACTGAATAAGATTCATGTAAATTATTAAATAAAGAAATATGAAATTTATAGTTTTAAACAAGGAAAATAACAATTACATAATAATACTGTCTGCCACAGTTGTAATCTCTGTCCGGACTTTTTATTTTTCACTCTATTCGGTCCTGCCTTTTTTCATTAGTTTATCCTGACTTTTTTTACATAAATTGTCATCCTGCCTTTTTTTTTTTGCCAAGTTGCTCATCCTGCCTTTTTTTTTTAATCAAAACTCCTGTCCTGCCTTTTTTTTTTTAAATTTCATCCTAGCCCCCTCCCCTCATAAAAATCAAATGGTAGCTCCCTAAACAGCCACTTCAAAAATCGATAATTTATAAACATTTTTTAGCATAAAACTAAAGTCACATATAAATACAACAGATAAGTAACTTACTTATGTTTGAGAGATAAAAGGATTTGCAATCTTAGTTTTAGCAACAAACACAACAAGTCCAACTGTTCTTGTTTATCTGTAAAAGTAGTTAGTCCAGAAATGATCCGGAAGGCTTTCCAGGAGACATGAAAGAGTAGCTGCAGCAAATCTTTTTTTGTTTTATCTGTCTCGATGTTACATGTTACCTTGGGTTATTTCAAAGATATGATTGTATCTAGATGTTAAATTATTCGAATACTAAGGTTTTTTGCCCTAGGTATAATAGATTGGCTTAACCTCATTAGGCACATCTTTTTGGAATTTTCAACTTTTAATGCTCTTCAAAGTTGTATGTGATGTTGTTGAAAAGACCGCGAGACCGGCAACGTCGCGAATTACCTTTGTATCCAAGGTCGACGTTACATTGGCGACTCCACCTTAGCTTTAATTATAGTAACAGTTAAACGTCAAACTGTATAACTGTTGTTTGTTATTTAGAGTCAGATAATTATAAGAAATCGTTCCTACATTTATGGTGCCGTGACTAATGGAGTTACCGAAGCCCAAATCGATTAGATGGGCAATCGTAGTGCCGTTACCAGACTTTTACGAAAATTTGCCGAAGCAAAAGAAAGTTCTGCATTCGACAGAGAGGAGCTGTTAGCCACATACGAAAACAGAAGAAGTTACTCGACACACTGAATGAACAAATTGTGAATACATCGGAAACAGAGGATACAGAGACTTTAATCTTAATTTAATGTAATTTATATACTGTTTTTCAATTTTCTTTTAATCGTATTACTAAATTACTTTTTTGAGGCCCCGAGAATGTTGAGAAGACCGCTGGTCCGGCAGCGTCGAGAATTACCTTTGTATCCAAGGTCGACGTCACATCGGCGACACCACCTTAGCTTTAGTTATAGTAACAAGTAAACGTCAAACTGTATTACTGTTATTTGTTATTTAGAGTCAGATAACTATAAGAAATCGTCCCCACAAATGTGGCCTTCCACCTGTTTTGATTCGAGTGTCATGGTCGTCTGTCGTACAAAATTATAAGCCTGGGATATTTGATGAGTTTTTGAACTATAATCACGATATTTCGTATACATGCGACTTGTTTGAGACTCACTCATTAGAATCGTTTGGTTTAACGTCCCTGTGGTCTTCGGATTCCATATTCCACATGCTTAAGTGTGGAGTCGTAGGATTCAACATCCTAAGTGCAGAGTCATTGAATTTAAAATCCAAATTGTGAAGTCATTTGATCAAACTCGAGCAGACCTTTCTATGTGACTGAAGTAATTATATACATTTTATCTAGAAAAATGTCCTTTTATTGAGAAAAGGTTTTCATGTGAAAATAAAAAAAAATAAAACATAATTTTTTTCGCAAAAACATTTCTTACAAAAGCGTCAAATGTTAAGATCTGGAATCAATTTGGCGAAAAACATAGAATAACTAGTGGAACTTGTTGCAAGCATTTACAGTCAAGCATTTTGTTTAGGATAGATTTCTTTCTCAATTATTTCAGAAATTTTAAATGATTTACAGTCAAAGTACATGTAGGTATCTATTCAATATTTCTTCAGTAAAGAAACTTATATTAAATGAGTATGTATATATGTATTGCCTTTGAGTTGCGTATTTTTATTTCATAACTATTTTTCATTTGAATGGTTAATTATTATTCTTTTTTTAAGTACACGAAAGAGTGTTTTGCTAACTAAAGACTGAAAAATTTGACAACGGACCAAAACCGATATATATATATATATATATTTACAGAAATGTTTTTTAATTGATTTCTAATTTGAAAGAAGTTTGAATGGTTTTGTTTGATTTTTATTATAAAAATAATAATGGATCAGATTATAATATGTTTTTAATATTTATACATCACAAAGACGAGGGTTAAGATGTACTGCATAGGAATGGTTAATTATAAAAACCGAAAACTCATAATACTGGTGTAAAATCATTGAACAAAATCATAAAGGGGAGAACGTACCAAAGTTTGAAGAAAATTGACAGTTCTCTTTTCTTAACTTGATTGAAGTAGTTTTATTGCTTTTAAATAATGAGTCAGATAATTATAAGAAATCGTTCCTACATTTATGGTGCCGTGACTAATGAAGTTACCGAAGCTCAAATCGATTAGAACGGGCAATCGTAGTGCTGTTACCAGATTTTTACGAAAATTTGCCGAAGCAAAAGAAAGTTCTGAATTCGACAGAGAGGAGCTGTTAGCCACATACGA